AAAAACTTTTTATATGCCATTGAGTATCCCAAATTTAAATGGGTTTTGTCTGATATCCGTGTCTCTTGTAAAAATATGATATTCATAGTCACTCTTAATAATTCTATTTAAAAATCTGATCCGGATTTATAGTACAGTTACTGTTTTTACTACCGCCGTTAAAGTATAAAGACTAAGATTTTGAAAAAAAATCACCTTTTTTAATGTTTGTTTACTTCACCCTGTATATATTTAACAATAAACCTAATTTTATAAATATTACCAAAGAATAAATATTTCGTAATAACAAATTAATATTTCGTAACTATGATTTTTTTTAAGATGTTTCATTTTTGTTTTCATATATTTTGCACTTATTGTGGTATTTATGGGTTAAAAATGAATATTTTAAAAATTATTTTGAAATGTCAAAAAAATATCATTTCAGTGCCATAAACACAACACAAACCGACACAAAAAGTGGTTCAAATAAATAAACTGCGCCCCCCCCCCCCCAAAAAAAAGGTCTTAAAAATGCAACAGCAGTAGGAATCGAACCATAGACCTCTCACGCATCGAGTCAATCACTTAATTTCACACTTTTCAATGACGAAACTACTTTCATAAGATTTCCCCATGTGGCACCTCAATTTTATTTTTGCTGACAATTCTGACAATGTCAGGCTTTTAGAGAAAAGCAAAGCTGAAATTGATAAAAAACTTAAATGTCAAAAGTAAATAAAAAGAAGAAAACTTACTTCTATTCATCCAAATTACCAATCAGCAAATATCGTCTCTTAATTTTTGTTTTGGGTTTCATTTTTACAGTCTAAAAAAATCATTCCTTCCACATGCAAAACTGCTCTTGATGACATTTGGCCATATTTAAGTTTCCTACTAGCAATAACTGCCGTATGCTTTATGAAAACTTGAAAAGCAATGACAGCTATCAGCCCGAGGAATAAGTAAAACAACCCAGCGTTCGTAAGAACAGCCTTTTCAACAATTCCAAGTTTTCAATTTCCTAGCCACTTTTTTAATGTCTACACATCTGTCAACACTTATTTATTGTCTGTTACAATCCTCAAATAAGTTTTCTTTCTTTTAAAAAGTTGCATGACTAACAAATCCAAATGATATTCTCCCTCTGAATCAAACACAATTATTTTCCTCCCGTGAAATACACAACTTTTAAAAATGGCAGCCGCTTACATTTAACAGAGCCAGGTCTAATATAAATTCGCAGTAAGTAACAGAAATATGAATGGATGCTTGGACTTTTTCTCCTACTAAAAATTGTTGTTTTCATTATTAAAATAAGCGATCATTCATATTTTTTTAAATAAAATGAATAATATCATCTCCATTAAAAAATGTTTGATTGTCGCATTTATTTTTTCAGTCCAATAATTCTTGTATTATATGAGAAATTCGACTAATACATGTACATAATAGAGGCCCCTAGTGGGGAAAACAGATTTTAATATTAAAGTTAATATCAAGGAATTTTCGTTTTAGCTTATTTTTGAGTATAAAATAAAAAGAAAATTTGTTTGTTTGTTGTGTCAGATGTAATTTCATTTTCATCTCGCGAACTTTAAAATCAGTATTCTCACTCGTGGGAATACTGTTTTTATAGCCCACTCGATGAAATAAAATTTCATCTTACACACAAACAAACAAATGTCCGCTTATATACTCCACATTAATTCTCGTAAACTTTACCAACGAAATCGAAGTGTAATCATATATTTCAATTAGTGCTGTAATGTGCTGTCATAATTGACAGGTCAATAAAATAAGACTATACAAAATAAGCAATGAGGCTGTATATACAAACAAATGAACTATTGTTGTTCCACCATGCAAAAGCAAAATCATTTCAAAAATCTTTTTTCAAGGCGACATGTGACACATTATGAAATTTATTTATAATGTAAAAGATACCACCTTTTTGTTTAGCCTTTTCTCCAGACACTAAACTAAAGACACAATAATTACATAATTGCAAGTATTAAAAAAAATTAAGGCAGTACAAAATTTTAAGAATATACGCTTGTAATATGTTTATACTACATAAAACATTATCAGGATCAAAAACTCCTATTGTAACCCAAATATCTACGACATCTTGGCTCTATCTCAATCTATGAAAGTTGTTTTCTGTCAATTTTCTGTACCTCAGGTTTATATATATAAAAATGTGATAATTGAGTGTTGAGCAAACTAGGTTAAAATATCCAACCTACTTTTTAAATAACATTTCTGTCCCATTCTTATATAAAATGTGTCACTTGCTGAAATGTTTGAAATTTATAAAAGAGCCGTTTTTTTTCAGCACATTGTGAAACATTACACATGTATGCTGCATGTAGGTTTTTTTGTGTGTTGTTTTTGTTTGTATTTGTTGTTTTCTGCCAAAAATAATATCTGCATAATTCATTTTTTAGATTCAATTATAACTGCATTCAGGGATACGATGGATAATCGATAATATTAAAAAGTCATATTAAACTTAGAAGTGTATACTTTATCACATTCTTAACAAAAATACAGAAAACAACAAATGTTTTACCATCTTGTTTAAAAATAAGTGACTATTTAATTTGAAATTTAAAGTTAAAGTTAGAAAACAACAACAACAATAACAACACCATATTTTCATCGAGTCATAAAATGTCTGAAACCGGGATATTGCTACATGTGCTTGCTATGCCATGGCAGCTCTCGAAAATTTTGGAATTCAGTCACGGTTTTGAGAAAATTCCTACAAGAAAGGGTTATTTACATCATTTGATATACATTAGAAAAATTTTCCCGGGGACCCCAAAAAATTTTCCCAAAAAATATTAAAGTAAAAAGCAAATTTATTTTATAAAAATAAATACTTGTAAAAAAAGGAGTAATATTTTTCTTTGACCATTTTAAAAAAAAGTCACCCTGGGTTGGCCCACATAATAGAGGGGGTTTAAAAAAAAGTGGGTTTTACCCTTTTTTTAAGGGCCCCTTAAATAGTATTTAATGTATAAAAGGGTTTTTAAAAAAAGGTTTTTAATTTTAAAAGCCGGGCGCTATGGTGCAAGTTAAAACTGTTTTTCCTAAAAAATCAAGGGGGCGTTTAGGTTTTGATCCCCCCCGCTACCCACTGGAAAAGAAAAAAAATGACTACAAGACTTTACAAAACCAAGGCTAGACACAGAATGACGGCAAGAATAGAAACAAGAGAAGACCTTAACGGAACAGGAAACAAGTACCGAAAGTACAAGACCGAAGACGACGACCGATAACAGAAGGAAGAAATGGAGACAAGAATTGACAACAAGCGAACAGAGACGAGGACCGCTAACAGAAGAACAGAGACAGGGGCCGATAACAATAGAAATGACAACAAAACGAAACAGAGACAGGGATCGATAACAGAAGAACTGACAGCAAAAGAAAGGAGACGAGGATTGTTAACATAAAAAATAGAGACGAAGACCGATAACAGAATAACATAGACGATAACTGAATACAGAAGGATGAAGACGGTGATCGGTGGAATCGATGACAGAAGAATTGACAACAAGAAAACGGAGAAGAAAAGAAAAACCGACGGAACAGGAGAACGGAAGAAAAACGAAAGACCAGAACCGGATAAACAGAACAGACAGGGACGGCCGATAAACAGAAGAACTACAACAAGACAAGGGAGACAAGGACCGATAACAGAAAAATGGACGAGGACCGATAACAGAATAACATAGACAAGGACCGATAACAGAAAAATGGACGAGGACCGATAACAGAATAACATAGACTAGGACTGATGACAGAAGAATATAGACGGGATCGATAACAGAAGATAGTACTGAAAACTTTAAGTTTCGCGAACCGATGACAGAAGAATTGACAACAAGAAAACCAGGACTGATTACATAAGAATAGAGACGAGAACGGATGCCAGAAGAACGAAGACGAGAACCGATAACAGAACAACTGAGACGAGAACCGATAACAGAACATCTAACAAGAAAAGAACTGAGACCAGGACCGATTACAGAAGAACTGACAACAAGAGAACTGCGATGAAGACCAATAACTCAAAAACAAAAGTCACGACCAATAAGAGAAGAAGACAGCAGAGAAATGCGACTAGAACCGATAACAGAAGAACGAAGACGACGACCGATAACAGAAAAACGTACACCTAAACCCAAGAGTACTCAGAGAAAAGTGCCTTTAATTAATGTATATTTTTCATGCACACGTTTTAACCCCCTCACACATACGCACGCTGTAGTAGGCATCTGAGTAGCCACTCTATACGCTTGCATAGAGTGCCGTATAAAATACATGAAAGCTTTATATCTAGCAGATAGGGCAGGAAAGAGTGTGGTGTTTGCTGCGTAAATGCCTTACAGTTTTCAGTACTATCTTTAATATTACTTCTATATTACTATTATATTGGCCTATAGAAAAATGTCTGCCATCTTGGATTTTTTGGCCATATTGGATTGTTTTGTTTTTTTAATTCTGTTTTGGTGTCTTATTTGTTTTTACCTAAACATGCTTTGTGACAAATTTCAGGCTTTTCCTTTCCTTAAAAGTTTTATTTGATATATCATCCATTTATGATAAAGAAATTTGGCGGCCATTTTAGTGGTCATTTTAAATGGCCATTTCAATGGTCAATATCAAGTTTTTCAATTTGGTATCCACCTTTATCGGATTCAGCATACCTTTAATAGGTAAAATACACCAAGATACCACTTGTACTACAAAATGCCTCTAGCATCTTATAGGGAGCCAAATTCTCAAAATCAGTCCTGTCTATTGTATAAACACATAATTTAAGAATAAAACAAAAGCAAATGAGTTGGGCAATAAGTTCTAACATTGAAACATTACATGTTTCCTGACACTTAAAATGTCCCAGATGGCGCAAATGCTAAAATCGCGCATTGGCTATATCTTATATGGTGTAAAGTTTGATTATGATATATATAAAATGATATGACAAATGTATAATAATATGAGACATGACATGTGACATGATATTAAAGCTACAAAGTAAGCTGTATGAACTATTTCAGAGGTTTTATCTTCCAACAGCACGACAGATGAGAAGAACAGAGTCTGTTAAACGATCACCTGTTTATAACCACTTCAGGTGAGCAACAGTTTCTATGAAACAACAGCGTAAAACATTACATAATGTAGTTTAATTTAAACAATTCTTGTACTTAAACCGATTATGCCATGTGCAATAAACAGAGGATTATCATCTTCATTTGAGTGTTGTGTTTGATCCATAATTGAGTTAACGGAAGTCTATACACAGTTTGTAATGAATGATTCAAATAAAGTTATAACTAGAATTGGCGCTGATATATTACATCTAACAGAAAAATGAGTTGGAAAATAAAAATAACATTTTTCAGTATAATTGTATAAAGTCCCTCAGCTCTAAAATAAACTTAGCTACTTTTATAACTTAAAGTGCATACCGGTAATAATAATGATGATTATGATGATAATAATAATGATGATGATAATAATAATGATGGTGATAATAATGATTATGATAATAATGATTATGATGATAATTATGATGATGATGCTGATAATGACGATGATGATAATGACGATAAAGATAATGATGATGATAATTATGATAAGGAGGATAATTATGATGCTGATAATGATTATGATGGTGATAATTATGATAACGACGACGATGATGATAATATAATGATGATGATGGTGATGACGATGATGATAATGATGTTCATAATAATGACGACGACGACGATGATGATGATAATGGCGATTATAATAACAAAGATCGTAATGATAATATAACAATAATGATGATGATGATGATAATGATGATGATGATGATGATGTTGATGATATTGTGACGCCGACGAGGAGGAGTAAAAATTTTGCTCCGAAACGAATTTTCACGAAATGTTACTATCATTGACAGTGAGACGATTACTGGTGCCAGTGTTATACGAGCATATAGATGTCCGGACCGATTTGTGCGGGAATCCAGACAACGCATTGATGAAAATATCAAATTTTATTACGCCGCAATATCTGGCGCAAGGTAAAATATAAAATAAAGATTTAATCTTGTTGACATAATTAATTATAATCTAAAAAGATGAATGAATTTTTTGACGGTGATATGTTTCCCATTTCGTAAAATCATCAAAGCATATGTATCCTCTTTCCAAAGAAATACATGTATATTGTGATCAATTTAAAATCAACATTTTCTAATTCTAAAAGTATAGGTATATGTATTCAGCTGACATTCATTTTGAAAAGTGCAAGTTCATTCCTAACAAAGTGCCAGATATTTAGTGTTCACTTCTCTTGTATTTCCTTTCAGTTTGATTAGGAACTGTTTGATTTTTTTTTATTTTGCCAAACCGACACTCCGACATTCTTGTTTTACTAGGGGGGATCTTGTCTGCCAATCCGTACATTATATCAGGCACGAACGGGCACCCTAGTAGTTCTTCATAAACGTACACATATTGTAATTGTTATGTAGGTAACATAATATTTTGTTTTATTTGTTCACCAGATGGGTAGGATGGCGACTTGAACTGATGGGAAATTTCGTGGCGTTCTTGGCGGCATTGTTTGCCCTAGTTTCCTATGATTTAAACGGCGCGCAAGTTGGGATGTCGGTCACCTATGCTGTGCAAGTATGCCACTGTCAAATAAATTTCCTGATTGTCGTTAAAGTTAAAAAAAGCCATTTCTGTAGTACAGGCAAATTAAATGCTGACTATAAAACCATTTAACAGTCTGGAAAAGAAAGATCAATCGAGAGTAAAAATTTGATTCGGTTTGGTTGAGTCAGTTCATGAGAAACAACGAAAAGCACACAATCTCGAACCTAACATTCTATGCAGTATTCAATCATCAACCAAGGATCTCAACATTTCGGAAAATGAAGCGATAATGAAATAAATGGAAAATCAAAATCATAAAATGCATCGGGGAATTGTAAGTAATTGTCACATAGCACTTTAAGTCTTACCAACACTGTCAAGGGGAGCGGTGGTCTAGTGGTTAAGGTGTCTGCCTCTCAGCCCAGGGACCATGGGTTCGAGCCATACTCGGGTCACGACCATGATTTCTCATATGACACCCAGTACTGGTTGGTTTCAGGAAGCTGGCTCGAAAGTAATTGATATAAGTTGAATGAAATTGTTTCGCTATCGGGCTACAATAAATATGTTTTAAACTGACACTGAAAAGCAAAGGTTTGACTACATAGTGTGAGTGTTCAGATAAATATTGCCACATTTCAGCTTACAATAACCTTGAACTTCGGAGTGTTTGCAATCAGTGAGATGGAAATGAACATCATATCAGCTGAACGTGTCACTGAATATACCACCCTACAACCCGAGGTATGTATAAAATATTCCACCTTACCACCCGAGGTATGTGCAAAATATACAACCCTACCAACCGAGGTATGTACAGAATATACAACACTTCCTGACAAAATATGTTCAATATATACCACCCTTCCACCCGAGGTATGTACAATATATACCACCCTACCACCCTAGGTATGTACAAAATATACAACCCTACCTGCTGAGGTATGTACAAAATATTCCACCTTACCACCAGAGGTATTTACAAAATATACCAGCCTACCACCCGAGGTATGTACAAAATATACCACCCTACCACCCGAGGTATGTACAAAATATACAGCCCTACCACCCGAGGTATGTACAAAATATACAACCCTACCATCCGAGGTATTTACAAAATATACCACCCTACCACCCAAGGTATGTACAAAATATACCACCCTACCACCCGAAGCATGTACAATATATACCACGCTACCCACCCGAGGCATGTACAATATTTACAAACCTACCATCCGAGGCATGTACAGTATATACCACCCTACTACCCGAGGCATGTACAATATATACAACCCTACCACCCCAGGTATGTACAAAAATATACCATTCTACCACCCGAGGCATATACAATATATACAACCCTACCACCCGAAGCATGTACAATATATACCACCCTACCACCCGAGGTATGTACAAAATATACCACTCTACCACCCGAGGCATGTACAATATATACAACCCTACCACCCGAGGTTTGTACAAAAATATACCACCTAGCACGCCGAGGTATGTACAAAATATACCACCCTACCACCCGAGGTATGTACAAAATATACAACTCTACCACCCGAGGTATGTACAAAATATACCACCCTACCACCCGAGTTATGTACAAAATAAAACCAGCCTACCACCCGAGGTATATACAAAAATATACCACCCTACCATCCGAGGTATGTACAAAATATACCACCCTACCACCCGAGGTATGTACAAAATATACAACCCTACCACCCGAGGTATGTACAAAATATACCACCCTACCACCCGAGGTATGTACAAAATATACCACTCTACCACCCGAGGTATGTACAAAATATACAACCCTACCACCCGAGGTATGTACAAAATATACCACCCTACCACCCGAGTTATGTCCAAATATACCAGCCTACCACCCGAGGTATGTACAAAATAGACAAACCCTATACACCCGAGGTATGTACAAAATATACCACCCTTCCACCCGCGCATATACAATATATACCACCCTACCACCCGAGGTATGTACAATTTATACCAGCCTACCGACCGAGGTATGTACAAAATATACAACCCTACCACCCAAAGTATGTTCAAAATATACCACCTTTCCACCAGAGGTATATATAAAATATACAAGCCTTCGACCCGAGGTATGTTTAAAATATACAACCCTTCCTGCCGAGGACTGTATGTACTAAAATGGCAACACCTTCCGCCGAGGGATGTATAAAATATATGCATAAATTACTTTTTTCAAGATACAATATTATACAGAAATATACGACAATAACTATGGGAGTATGTTCAAAACATATACCAAACTTACAACGAGATATGTGCAAAATATATAGCCTTGTCAACCGACGTATGTGCAAAATAATTTGGAAATTTTGCACACGTGGGTTTTGTCAATGTTTTGTTTAATCTTGGCGGTGTCCTGCTATTTGAATACTTTCATTCTGTCAGACGTACAATGTGAGAATGTTTCTTTTTTATGGCTATTTGCTTTTCATTTTAGGCCAGCTGGGATAAGGGCAGTAGTTCACATCATTTAGCTCAGTGGCCACAGTTTGGTAGGATTGACTTTCAGGGATACAAGACCCGGTATAGAGAAGGTCTGGATCTGGTGTTACATGGAATACACTGTACTATCAGGGAGGGAGAAAAGGTTTGAAACCTAATTATCATACATGTATTACATTTGTATTTCTAAGTCTTGAATATTCCATGTCATATTACATTTGTATTTCTAAGTCTTGAATATTCCATGTCACATTACATTTGTATTTCTAAATCTTGAATATTTCATGTCATATTACATTTGTATTTTTTTCAAATCTTGAATATTCCATGTCATATTAAATTTGTATTTCTAAATCTTGAATATTCCATGTCATATTACATTTGTATTTTTAAATCTTGAATATTCCATGTCATATTACATTTGTATTTCTTAATCTTGAATATTCCATGTCATATTACATTTGTATTTCTAAATCTTGAATATTCCAATTTTTTTTCGGCGTAGCTGTATTAAAATGGATTTTGACCTAGATTTGTAACAAATGAAATTGTTAGTTACAAAATCTTCAGCTAAAAGAGGGTGTTTTTCATTGGTGGAAAGACTGGCTGTTATGAAATTTAAGGACAAATTCGTAATCTTTAGTTTACTTGTCTCTAAGAATAAAGTTGTATTAAAAATATTTATACAATCATAAACTAAATATCACAACGTTATGACCAAAACAAAGATATATCAAAATACAAAAATATACAGTACATACGATTTCATGTACAATTTACTTTGTTGATAATATTAACAACAAACCCAACTTTTTGTTTTTCAGCCTTTACTTAAACATTCGATTACTACTCACTCGTACTTTATTTGCCGTAGCTTTTCTGTTTTCTATGAAAATGAACGATATTTTTGATCAACAAAAAGATTCTCCAGAGCTGATATGAATTGCGAAAATTAATATATTTAAAATGCAACATTATCATAAAGAATCGCAAAACTTTAAGTATTATTTTTTGTGCGTAATAATAACAAATTAATTTATTCATAGTTATTCGGCGTTTGTTTACACCGGTAGGTAAATTTACCGAAATACACCCCAATTGACTACCACAATCTGAAACTGTCTCACTTGATAATCAGTGTCATTGATGGGTTATACAAAATTGAGTTTAGTACTTATTATAAGATAATTAGATATATTTCTGTATATATGGAACAACATTTATATTTTACATTCCACATTTAAAGTACATTGTAAAATATAACCTGTGTAGGTGTACGACACGTAGCCATGCCAGTAGGCTTAACTAGTACCTCCACCTCATACCCCTAGTATATACAAAATACTAGTCAAGCTGTGCAATTTTTAATAGAAATCCTTTTTTTTTATAAAATACATAATTATAACTTTTACTAGAAAGGTTATGTTTAACTTTTGATTTAAGTCTTCAATTATTCATTTTCATTGCCAGATAGATAAGAAGGCATTATAAATAGTATAGTTCAGAGTTGATATGTTCCATTGATTGTTTATTACAGTTTGTATTCTTTCATAAATAAAAGATATAAACAACAAAAGATTTTGGTGTTATTATCATGACCTAATAATTGCAGCATTTAATGCACAGAAGTGCTTTTACAAAATGAAGGTCTGATACATATAAGTTAATATTATTTAACAATAAAATTCAAGTTGTCAGCTGATTGTGGCCTTTGCAGTCTCTAAATTTGGTAGTGTGGTTGGTTATTCTTTGAAACCAGTAGTCAAAAGTCACGGTGACAAAAAAGCTTCTAGCATCTATAATAACATGACTAATTTGTTGACATTATAGGAGCATATACATGTTTCAGCTAAGTTTAGACAACTGTCATAGATTATACTAGTAACCACCAAATATATTTCAATTTAGACATTTATATTGTTATAAAGTATAAATATCATTAATTTTGAAAATATTCTAAAGCTATGAGACATTTTGCACTGAATTTACGCCGATTATCTTTTTTAAAGATATTTCTTGTTTATATAATAACCTTTCTGAGCAACATCCTTTTGGGTGTAGAGATATACATTGTAGCTGGGACTGGGAGGTGTTGCTCTGATTGGTTAAATTCAATATCTTATCAGATTTCTTTTTTTTTGTAACACGTAACTCTGTAGATGTAAATGTGTTATTGTTGTACAGATGGTCGCTCTACAGAGGTAAAATTGTGTATTTTTTCTTTCACTGTTTCGTACAGTTGAGATATTCATTCATTCATTCATTTCGTTCGTTCGTTCGTTCGTTCATTCTCTCACTCACTCACTCACTCACTCACTCACTCACTCACTCACTCACTCACTCACTCACTCACTCACTCACTCACTCACTCACTCACTCACTCACTCACTCACTCACTCACTCATTCATTCATTCATTCATTCATTCATTCATTCATTCATTTATTTATTTATTTATTCATTCATTCATTCATTCATTTCTCGCATACATTTTTCAGGTTGGGATAGTTGGTAGAACGGGAGCCGGGAAATCTTCGCTAGCCCTCGCTCTTTTCCGGCTGATAGAATCGGCGGACGGTGCTATAATGATTGATGGTGTAGATATATCAACACTGGGTCTTCATGAACTGAGACAAAAACTAACTATACTTCCACAGGTCTGTCAAACGTATTGTTATATATCTTGTAAAACTCTGGATTAGAAATAAGTTTGATTGACATATACCTAAAATTTTATACAAGTTTTCTGATAACTAAAACAAAACAGTTATTTTCAACTAAGGGTCCTACGGACTCGTGGGATAACAACATAACTCAAGTGAATATATCCAAAAACTTGATTTATGGCAGGGAGGAGACATGGCGTGTCATGTCTAGATTTGATCGTCTAACTTTCATATTTTAATTACTTGAAATCAGTTTAAATTTTTTCCAAAGGATATGTGTATTGCAATGATGGATAACATTAGTTTTAAGCTTGATATGGTCATGTTTTTTTCCAAATAAAAATTTAACCCAAAAAGATGCCTTTTTAAAAAGTCATTTTCCCAAAACGTTTAAAAAAACCAAAAAAAAAATTCGCCCATTTTTAGAAAAAAAAAGGGGGAGAAAATTTCCCTCCTGCAAACACTTACGTTTTTTAAAATCAGTTAGGGAAAGGAAAAAAGGGAAAATATATTTTGGGTTTGTAAATATAAACGATGTTTAGTTTTTTTTGTATAATTTAGGCCCGTGCTTTTTTCCGGGAAATTTTTAAGGAAAAATTTTAAAGTTTCCTTTCAACCACTTAAAACGTGGGAGTATTTTGGTTTTTGCCATCGAGTTGCGCACCCAAGGGTTTTGCATGGCCCGGGAAAGGCGGCTAGAGTTTAAATTTGGGGCGAATCCGGCAGAATTTAAAGGTCCCTTTTAAGGTAATTTTGAAAAAGCCCCAAATTACCCCTAAAGGAAACAGGAAATAATTTAGTAGCCCAAAGCCGGATTTTGTGATTTTTATAGTTTATTTTCCAATGAAAACAGTTGCAGAACAAAAGAAAAAGAGATATTTAGCAGTGCATTGGTACAGATATTGCCCCTTATAAAACAAGTAGCAGTCATCTGGCCGAAGAGCTTAGGATTTAATATCGCTGTCTCTCAAAATTGAGTCTGACACCAATGGGAAAAGCAACAAACAAAACACTATTTGATAGAAGGATTAGAATTTTAATAACTAGTGATTCAGGTTACTAACTTGAAATAACGCCTCCCTCTTTGCTGACGGTTTTTAAAGGGGAGCTATCTGGTTATGAAGGTCGATAGTTCAACTTTGAATCTAGAGTGTACCTGAAATAATGCATGAAGTGGCACATTAGGTCTTGTCCCACATTTTAATTTATAAAGTTATATGAGTAATATGAGTACATCATCATACTTACCTGATCATATTTCAGTGTCGGACAAAGACAATTAGTTTGTTTAGCACGGACACTCTTACATAAAACAAAGATTCTCATACTAGACGAGGCAACTGCAGCTGTTGATATGGAGACGGATGACCTCATTCAAGGTTAAATATTTCAAAGAATAATTGTCCATTGAGGTATATTAATAGATACCAAAATAGCATACATAAACCAATATTAGAGTTGTTATATTAGAAATAAAAGTATCCTTCAGCAATGGCATTGGTCCTAATCTTACCATATAAGTTAATTTGTAAGCAGAAAAAACATTGTTTGTGCCCCGACTTCTTTGGGTAGCCAGGAAGCTGTCCTGTCACGCTATAAGACGACCGTAAACCGGAGAAATTTCTCTAAACAAAGGGAAGTAACTGTACGAAATAACAGCAGTATACATTTTTTATTTCTTTTGTTTTATTATCCAAATTTATCATTTTTGTATAATTCAGATACCATCCGTAAACAATTCAGTGAGTGTACAATATTAGCAGTTGCTCATAGACTTAGTACAGTAATGGATTATGACAGGTAAACAAGTTTATGTTATACATCTATTATTTAACAAACTTATTGTACTTTACGTTATTTCGTTCAAAATCAGTTTTTCTATTTGTAAATACCAACCGTCGCTTAAAATAGTGACCAAAGCAAGATGGCGAGTAGGTCATGGAAACGCTCTCTCCGCTTGCCAAATTTGTAAATAATTATTTGAAGTATCATAAAGATACACTGTGGGATCTTCGATAGAAAAAAAACTTTATGAATCTTGAGCTCAATCTATACAAAATGAATATTTTCCTACATGTATTTAAGAGCTATTTATTTAAATGTAATACGCATGTGTAATGACAATATATATAGGATTTTCAAGTTTTTTTCTATAAATACATGATTTATTCTCATCAAGTGGTATGAAAATAAATATTTCATGAGTGGCGGTAGCCACGAGTGAAATATGGTAATTTTCATGCCACAAGATGAAAATAAATCGTGTATTTATAGAAAAAACTTGAATTTTCTGTTTATTATATACAATTTTCTCTTTTTTGACATTAAAATTTGAAAGACTTTCCCTTAAATTTTGTGTACTGGCAGAATTTAAAAGAAAGTAGTCCGGCAAGACACCAGTGAAAATACGGAAAATATGTTTCACTGCAGTGAAAAATAAATTTTTACAGTGCAAATACGGAAAATGAAAATATGCATTTTATTTCATCCATATTTCTCAATATTTTATTTATAAGTATATAATAAAAACTTATAATCGTAGTTAAGTATTTATATTTGTAATATTTCAAGGATAATGGTCCTAGACAAAGGTAAACTGGCAGAGTTTGATACACCAGCATTCCTGTTAGATAACACTGAAAGCATATTCTATGGAATGGCGAAAGACGCCGGCATTGTTTGACGTCATACGTGTCGATCTGTGTCGAAATGTGTGACGTAATGTACCAGAAACAAGAAGCTTACTGTTGTCATTATTCTCAGGCAGTTATTGATTCTATCTATTCAAGATGACACATCCAACGTTTACTTTATTATTTTAAAACGAGATACGAATATTCCACGCTATATTGTTGAATATAGGCCTACTCTATCTTTTATTTTGCACGTTTGTAACGTCGCTTTTCATTGGATAATATTGATGTTTATATAGATTATGTCTATTATGTGAAACTTACAAATGAACGTTAATTTAAGAATAAAAATTTAAATGCAGAAATTATATCTCACAATGTTTTTATTTTGTATTGTTTTTGTTTTAAGTCACACCGACACCAAAATAGTCATATAGTGACATTAACGCCGGTGACCGTCCGTGCTTTATTCAGTCACGAACTGGCACCTGACTAGAGCAAACGACAATCCCTAAGCTAGTACAGAGAATGTTGTATAATTTTCATAACTTGTTCACTTACAAGTATATCGTTATAACAAACTAATTGAAGTCACGTGATGTACAATTAAGAGAGAGAAAACACACTACAGAGCAACTTTTTTAAATGAGAAAAAAAAACGTTCTATTTCTGGGGGTTAATGTGCTCAGGGCTGGGAATCAAAACTGCGTCGTATCCTACAAAATGTAAACAAACGCCGCCATCTTGGAACGAAAAATGTATGTTTTAGTTTATAACTATTTTTGTTGGAAATGACTGAAAACCAGATATATGTATTAACACGCAACACTATTTTCCGCTTCGTTCGGTATATGTTACTTACACAACTATTTTGTAAAACAAAAGTTATAGCGAACTTGCAACTCGAAGCGGAGCAGAATTTTTATGAAAATGTGTGGATACGACGCAGTTAATATTGCTTTATCTATCGTTTCTTCTTCAAATCAATTATATATTTGTTTCAGAGTTCACCATAAACTTCAAAACATAATTTTGCATCATTTACTAAATTTTCATTAAAAAGAGGTGTTTATTTTTCAAGAAAATAATGATTTTTACGAAATGATACGACGCAGTTGAAAATAAAATATGATACGACGCAGTTGTATTTTCATTGCAGGCTGCATATTGGTTTTAAACTATTTAAATTATGTGCTAGGTATGCTAATAACGCCCAACAACATTTCTTGTTTACAACTTAAGTCAAAAGCAGAGGTCACTCATTGGTTCCATAAAAATGGAAATGTAATACAATTCTATTAAGGCTGAATTTTTCGGTCGCATTTAAGTATATAAAGCATCTACAAATTCCGAAAAGCTGTATCAAATGCAATATACACTGAAACACGTGATCGCACACCCATATGACAACGTGTTCCAGTGTTGCATTAGCATGCTTCTAAAATTGTTCACCATTAAAATTTTAGAATTATATTATAAATGGTTAAGCTACAATATATTTTTGCAAGTAGGTTATGCGTTCCGTTTAGTCATTTTATGTTCAGCCCTCTGATTTTGTCGTATTGCATTTCTTTATCGCCGATGAGGAAAGGTCTACGGAATGTATTTTCTATATTTGCACTTAAGAATCATTCTTCTCCATTAAAAAACTTTAAATTTTCAAAACGAGTTACATATGATATAACTACAGATTATTTTGTAAAGAAGGTGTCCGTTTTGCAAAGGTATTTTACGCTGTGCACCGATAAATCTGATACAGATATAGGCAGACATGATCTTTCAACAGTATTGAAGAAGTTTTCACAATATTGAACAGAAAATTAAGGTCAGATTATCGCACCGAATTTTCAACAAACTAGAGACATGGCATCTTAACATATCTTCATACTAAAGTGTGATTTTTATTTGATAATGAATTGCCTGAAAACTTAAAACAAAGGTTTTCAGAAAATGACTTCACAGAGGATTACCCCCTGCTTACATTGAAAATTTCTCTGCTAGTCATACCGAAATCAGAAATTTAAATGTTATTCTCTTTATAATTAATTCAAATATTTATAATCTTAAAACTTCACGCCAGAAGTTAATAAAGAAGCTGCTTATTTGTACAGCTGACGGTAACACATTTTGTTGAAAAAACAAATCAGACAGGTGGACCGTGGCCGAGCTGTTAATGTTTACTGAATTCAAATCACTTGAACTGAACTGCTATGAATTCGACAACTACCAGGGACTTTTTATTCTTTCGTGTGGAAAACCTATCAAGCTAGTTTCAAAATGTCGATGGTTCTCTGCAGGTGCAACATTTTGCCTGCAATAATGCACAAAGGCGCACCTGAGGTCCTCGCCCCTAGTAAAGCTAATGTGTAGAGTGAAAGTTTGAAAACAAACCACAAAAAAGCAAAAAAGCAATCATTACCCAGAACATGCAGAACCACAGTTAACTTAGAGCGTAGCTAGCCCGCATGAATTCAAGTTAATAGATTTGTATATTTTTTTTGCGAAAAAAATAGGGATAATATTGAACATACAGGAAAATAGAAGAAATTATTTCAGATATTTTGATCAATTAGGTAACATGTTTATGTTTAACTAAAAAGTAGCTTCCGCAATGTAAACTTTCATATTAAATGTTAAATTGGACATGACAGAATGTATTCTAAATAATCAAAAGCAATAGAACATTGCTATACACCGCAAATGATCTGGGTTTTTTTCCATCTAGCGCAAGTGATTATTCCATAAAATAGAAATATTTTGCCAAAATTATCCCTGTTGAAAAGACTGCCAAAAATACAACTGCGTCGTATCATATTTTATCTTCAACTGCGTCGTATCATTTCGTAAAAATCATTATTTTCTAAGAAAATAATTATCTCTTTTTAATAAAATTTTAGTAAATGATGCAAAATTATATTTCGAAGTTTATGGTGAACTCTGAAACAAATATATAATTGATTTGAAGGAAAAAACGATAGATAAAGCAATATGAACTGCGTCGTATCCACACATTTTCATAAAAATTATGCCCCGCTTCGAGACGCAAGTTCGCTATAACTTTTGTTTTACAAGATAGTTGTACAAGCAACATATACCGAACGAAGCGGAAAATAGTGTAGCGTGTTAATAAATATATTTGGTTTTCAGTAATTTCCAACAAAAAAAGTTATAAACAAAAACATACGTTTTTCGTTCCAAGATGGCGGCGTTTGTTTACATTTTGTAGGATACGACGCAGTTTTGATTCCCAGCCCTGGTGCTTTAAGCTGAGCCGATGCGTTCGGTGCTTTCAGCGCTTTGATCCAGTTTGCAGTGTATGGAATCCACAGGAAGGTAGTCTAGTACTGGTTAACTGTTAGGAAACTACCCGCCTATATGACCGAAAAATTGTTGGAAATAGGCTTAAAAGGAAACAAACAAACAAACAAAACAAACAATAACGTATCAAGTTAATGTCTGCTTAAACGTTTTGAGTTATGCCCAATACAATTTTACCGACAAAGTTCTTTTTAACTCTATGTTATATTAGAACATCAAAAAAAATTGAACGATGAATTTAAAAGAATAGTGATTGTGTGTGTTAAATAAAATCCACTGTGGCCGAAAAGTCTAATTTTAACTTAATTAACTTAAGTTGATTTAAGTTTGATAGAAAATCCATCGGATGGATGGATTTCATATAGTGCGGATTTTATGTCAGTATAATTAGTTATTATTAAAGGGAGGTAAAAGAAATTCATAAAAACATAAACCTTAGTTCTTTTACTTAACAGAACATTCAATCAATATAAATTGTAGAAAAAATGTAATAACATTCAATTATTTTTATCAAAATCAGATGATAAATTTATACTTAATAAGCCTGATTTATTTACATTATTAAGATTGTTTATATACACTAATTTATCCTCATTCTTCAGTAGAACCACCGATCAATAAACGTCTATTGACGGTATTTCTTTTGACTCGTTCACAAAGTTGGAAACAAATTTGATGGACGGGAAATTTATAAAATCAGTCTTTCTTATATACCACTGCAAAGCGCAGTGCAGAATGTTTGTGTTACAAAGTCAAGAAAGCACTGATCAAGTGTCCTGTGCTCAATTTCTATTTACAGTGATACTTTCTCATAAAGGGCATGAAGGGGACCTTATATCCGAGTACAAGTAAAGAAAAATTGTCAGTCAAACCGCCATTATAGGATCCCTTTAAATCAATTATGTATGTAGCCTATAAAAAGAGACCAATAGATTCTTGAAAGAGCCGTCCGGTTAGCTCATTAGTTAGAGCGTTGGACTGTGAATAGGTCGACCCGCGTTCGATTTCCGGACGGCGCAGGTCAGTTTCGTACGGTGGCACAAAGGTGACATGTGTGTGTGTTTTTATTTATCTTGTGGCCACGAGATACTATGTCGGTGTAATCTGATTGGTTATTTATCTCGTGGCCACGACTTAGCTATCTCGTGGTCACGACATAGTATCTCGTTGCCACGACTTAGCTATCTCGTGACCACGACTTAGTAACTCTTGGCCACGACTTAGCTAATAACTCGTGGCCACGACTTAGTAACTCGTGGCCACGACATAGTATCTCGTTGCCACGACTTAGCTATCTCGTGGCCACGACTTAGTAACTCGTGACCACGACATAGTATCTCGTGGCCACGACTTAGCTATCTCGTGGCCACGAGTTACTATGGCCACGACTTAGTAACTCGTGGCCACGACATAGTATCTCGTGGCCATGACTTAGCTATCTCGTGGCCACGACTTAGTAACTCGTGGCCACGACATAGTAACTCGTGGCCACGACATAGTATCTCGTGGCCACGACTTAGCTTTCTCGTGGCCACGACTTAGTAACTCGTGGCCACGACATAGTATCTCGTGGCCACGAGATAAATAAAAACACACACATGTCACCTTTTTGCCACCGTAGTTTCGTTATGATTGATCGTGCAATCTTTTCTACAGTCATTCGCACTGTACCTCTGCTCTGGTATGTACAGAGGTTTTAGTTCCTTGCGAAAGTGAATGCAACTAGTACTGGTAAACTCACTAACCTGCTTGACAGCCTGCCCCGGACTGAACTGTGCTCTGGTAAATTCAATGTGACTAACTGTCATGATCCGGAGTGAAAACTACCAACACCACTGCCACAACCACCATTTATTTTCTTGAGGGTGTATGTTGGGGGAGTGGTGTATCTATCATTTACATTCAAAAACTATATAGATCGAGCTATACATATCAAATTATTTTTGTAAGATTTTGTCTGATTTAGATACAATCTATGGCTGAATAAAAATAACAAAGTTGAACCTATGTTCCTAATCTTTATTTAAAGAATGTTGAAAATGAAAAGAATTTATATCCAAAGTCTTTCTTCTGGCCACAGTGCTCGGTTGATGCTTGTATCTGAAATAAATAAATAAATAAGTAAATAATGAAATGTTATGAAATGAATGAATGAATAAATTTAAAAAAATGAAAGAATGACTCAATGAATGAATGAATGAATGAATGAATGAATGAATGAATGAATGAATGAATGAATGAATGAATGAATGAATGAAGAATGAATGAATGAATGAATCCAGCTCTTGATAACAATAAAATTAGTATTAGTGATTCTTTGTGCTCGTG